TGGCAGATAATCCCAGGTATACTATCTGCCTGCACTGACAATATAAGAGCAGCAAGGGCAAGGAGGAGAAACACTACAGCACCACAGGGATGCTGATTAGGGCTGTGTGAAGTTTCAATCCCCGATTCAATTCAGTGGAGATTTGGCCCCATTTGGTGGCCAAATCTCTAAATCCAAATTAAACCTGGAGACCCTTTAATCTCTCTGAACCAAATTGGAACCCTCCAAATTGATTCAGAGAGATTTGAAAAGATTCGGACATAGATACAGCTTTAAACATTTTTTCTACATACCTCAAGGCACCAGGCCGCTTGTGAATGCTGAGATGCTGGGGTGGATGGAGCGTCCCACAGGAATGCAGGGGGTGGGGGTCCCCAGCACGCTCAGCAATAGACCTGGAAGTGGACCAAGCAGCACTTAGTTGGTGTGTGTGCTCTTCCTGGATGGAAGGAATAGTAAAGAAGCCAGAGGCTGGCATGCAATGCAGGCAAGAAAGCCAGTCAGTGAAAGTGGAAATGGAGGCATCATGGGGTGAGAGACAGGATGGGGTAGGGGGAAAGTAACAGGTAAAAGTGGAGAGGTACCTGGGGAGACGGATGTCAGGCAACTTGTAGTGTGTCCAATGTCTATATTGAGTCCATGAGTTTCTGTACCTAGGAGGTTGATGAAGTGAAGTTCATAGGCCTGTCTGTAAAAAGTGGGTTGTAAATTCCCTTTGAGGATCAGGACTGAGAGACTGGAGACGAGTGGTTTTCTTGTGAGAAATGTGCCCCCACAGGTAGTTGGGTATTCTGGTCTGTAATAGATTCTGGTGCACCGTTTGTGGGGGTACTGGACATATGTTGGCAGGTTTTGCATTTCTTGTCATGGCGTGGTCTGGATCCATCCCATGTATTTTGGGCTGTAGGGAGTTGGCTTCTGGCGATGAGGTTAGTGATGTTCGGTGCTTGTTTGAATTAGAAACCACTTTTCACAGCTGCACTCCTGCAGCTGGGAGCCTGCTGGCAGCTGGAGTGTGGCTATCAGGGTCAAAAAACCCCTGTGCTGCAAGGTAGCAGCATGAGGAATGCCTGAATGTTCGGTGTGGCAGTGCAGATGGGTCTGCAGTGCCACATACTGCACAGCTGCACTCGTCTGGACATGGCCCTAATTTGTATATGTAAAATATCTTCCATAATACTACAAGTGACAATTTCTTCCATTTTATGAACAGGAAGCAATGTGCATCAATTCAGCAGTAATAACTGAATACACCTTCAGGATTTTAAAATTGTAATTAAATATTTTTCAAATTAAATGATAATGTACTTTTTAATGACTGACTCAGTTTAGAAGTCATACATTCCAAGTTTCCTCCATAGGATTTTTAATCCGAAAAAAGTAGTACAAACACAGCAAACAACTTGTTATTTAGCCACACAATGTTAGTACTGTTAGGTATGCAAACATAATTCACAAGATAAACCCGGAGGGTGCGTCCACATGAGCAAGCCACGTGCCTTTTGCCCCGCCTCAAACCCCTTTGAGGTGGGACAGCAGGTGCGTGTGGGAATGAAAAAATGTTCCCTGCGCTGCAAGTTTGCAAAATTAGACCCCTGCATATCCAGGGGTCTAAAAAATCAAAGCTTAAAAAAGTGGCGCAGGGCATTGTCCGGGACCATGCCCTGAGGCAACCGGAGGCTGGCTGCCAGAGCGTCTCTATGGTTGCCCCTCCCCCTGGTGCTGAAACATGCGGCAGGCCAGGCCGCATGTTTCTGCACCATGGCTCTGGTGCCAGTGGGGTTGGAGGAGGGGGGAGGGGACCATGGGGGAAGACCCGACGGCCCCGTCCACTCCCCCAGCCCCCCTCCC